CCCAAGAGTTGGCGGTGGGTGGTGATGACTAGCTGCCTTCTCTATTGTCTTACACTGCTAAATTAGAGACGGCTAGCGCAGATATCCCTCGTGTAGCTTTGCGCGAAATTAAAAACAAACAAACAAAATGTTTTAATGTTATAGTAATTACAATTAATAAGCTACAGAGGTGAAAAACGTGCTTTTCCTTCCACAAAATAATGACGTCTAGACATGTAGATATCTACTCATTGCTACAAAATCATCCAAGGTTTTCCAAGAATAAAAATAAAGTTGAAAGTTACTTCATTTCTAAAGTCTTTTTTTATTAACGTTTATAACATACAAAAACTCGTAATACTTTTGGTTTTTCATAAAGTACTACAATAACAACTTAAAATCATAACGTCAATAATAAAAAAACTTAGAAATAATAGTTTGCTATTAATCAGTATAGTACAGAATGGGTGATCTGTTATGTGCCCACCGCGAGTATCGAAATCCGAATTTTAGCTTTATAAGTCCACAGAATTATCGCTTAGCCACGATGGGCAATGGAATAATATCAAAAGTAACCATTTTAATTAAAAAAAAACAATATAGGGGGAATAAAATAAAGTTAATAAACAAGAGATAAAGTTGTGTCTCAAATGAAAAACAAAGGGATTCCTCAATAGCAACGTCACTTGAAATTCTTCTAGACAGGATTACAGTAAATTAATCTATGAAACCTTTTTTTTTTCATTTTATTAGCTATATTTTTGTGCACCAGTAATACTAAGCGTGGGGCGCACGTATACCCAATTCTATTTTATTACTCATCCGGATCTCTTCCAGCCTACCCTCGAACTGAATTCCTTTTAGGCAGAATTAGAGTAAATTACCCTATGAGACCTTGAACATGGGCAATACATCAATCGAAAGGGTTAGACCTCCTGAGTCCAAAACTGTAATTAGATCTCAAATCGGTCAAGAGATGATGGAGCTATGAACTAAAAGTTTGTACTTGAAAACCGAAGAGCCATTCTATGAGCCGCGGCTAAAAAATGGCCTAGAAATATTTCGAATATCACTGAAGAACAATACGTAAAAATACCGTCAAAAATAATTATAGTAATAATAAAAAACAAAGTAATAAAAAATCTTATTAATAAGAAAAAATTTACCAAAAATACTAGCAGTAAAATACCCAAATAATGACATCAAAAGAATAATTAACTCTGTAAGATACAAGAGCGAAAACGGGGGATAATTAAGGGAAAAATTGTGAAAGTAATACCAGTAAATCAAAAGCTGACAAAACTTCATAAATAAGGTAATTATTTTCTGTAACATATTTTTAATTTTTCTTCATGACGTTACTTATATTTCAAATAATTCTTATTTTCGACTACCCTGCGTTAATTTGCATCACTGTCAGAGTTAAGGTGATAATTTTATGTACAGTGATAAATGTTCTTACTTCAGATGAATAGGTTGAGTTATATGACATTCATCTACTTAAGAATTACACTGCCACAATATAAAGGAAAGACCAAAATATTTTCTAGTAATCAAACAGCTTCGAGAACTAGACCAAAGTTAAATACAAGTAAAAGAAGTTTGGAAGAAGTACTTTTGATTATTGTTCCCATACATAGATATTGAACAATAGATATATCACGTGAAAGCTACAGTGAAAGTTTCTTATAAAGCCTTGTTGAAAACAAATGTTTCTGAGAAAAAATTCGCGTTCACTGCTACAAACATAAATCAACAATAACGGCGGTCCAACACAGTTTAATAAATCATACGTACTTAACGAAGGCGTAATATAACTTAAAACTGGATGACTGACAATATAGCGGAACGCCTGAAGCTTTGCACTTGTTTTGTCAGAAATAAAACAATTATTTAATTTATAAAGCTCTTATATAAAAAACGCATACAGTCACTCGTTTATTCGGATTCTTATGTAAGATAATATATTATAATGCTAACACACTTTAGTATAATGCTGTTAGAAGTCGTCCATGTAATAATGACAAATGCTTTACGTCTAAAACTTAATGAGCTATCCCACAGCTTCTTTATAGTAAGATATACGTGTATAAACAACAGCACGAAAATTCAAACAGTTCTTTCCTTGAAAGCTAAGGATTTATGTTAGTTGAGATAAATTGGATGACAAACAATATAAGCAAATCTGTAGAGTTTGTGAATAATAATTACAATAAAGATCTAGACTGTGTTAATTAATGATAAAAATGTTAACGATAATGAAAGCTGAAGATAATAATGCGAGTACTAAACAACAATAGAATCAAATCTGGAGTTTTCAAATAATAATGTGACTATTAAACAACAATAAAACAAATCCGGATTCAAATAAATATGTGGATATTGAATAACATTAAAACAAATCCAGATTTAAAAACAAGAACGTGAATATTGAATAACAATAAAACAAATCCAGAGTTTTAATTAAAAGTGTGAATATTAAATAAAAATAAAACAAGTCCAGAGTTTTTAGATAAAATGTGAATATTGAACAGCATTAACAAATCCAGATTTTCTAAATAGTAATGTAAATATACAAAAAAATGTTAAACCTAAAATTTGTAAAATGATAAAAAGCATTAGCAAATGTGGGTAATTTAAATCATATTGAAAACAATGGGAATGCTAATATGTATTATGTACAGCAACATTTTATGAACAACAGCACAATTCCACAGACAACTCGACAATAAAGTACATTTATGTAAATAAAATATTCATAGATAAATGTACCTATAACTAATCACTTCGACTACAGATCTTAGAATTAACTACAATTCAGTATCTTCCAAAACTGTGATCAGAGTTAATTTTATTATTATAATTTTACATGTAAAAAATAAACAAGTCCGTTATTGTATTGAATGTCAGCCGTGGTTTTACAAGTTAAAAACAAATAGAATTATAGAAACATTGACAAAAACGTGTTTACTTAAATTGTGCTTTAACAAATGTTTATAGCATTAACAAAACCTTAAGAGCAGAAAGATTTCTAAACAAAGGCTGCATAATTACATTTTAAATAGAAGAGTGTCTAGTTAGAAATAATGTTGTGATAAAATATTATATGTTTAATTCAAAATAATCTACAAAACAAATTAAAATGAATTAACATGTTCTAGAAGAAAAAACAACTAAACGTTAAGAAGAGTAACGTGTTTGTGAAACAGTCATTCAATTGAATAGTTGGAGAACCTCCTCACATAAATTCTTATGAATAACTCTAGTTAAGCCTTTGTCTTATTGTTCTATTTATATTGGTTATTTTATAATGCATGAAAGAAACACTTTTATATACTTGAAGTGGCAATATTTGGGCTTAATTCAGATTACTCGTATTCTCTATTAGAAAATCACCTTATCACACCAACCAGACAAGATGAGACAGAAGGAGAACCAGGAATAAACAATAACTCAAGCGATGAGTGGCCGGTCTAGATTGTCCGTTAGATCTATTGTGGTAGCTTCGTACACGCTATCAGAAAACGGTCTAAAAGTAGAGGTATTCTCCTGGAGATTTAAGGAAAACTTGTCTGGATCATCACTATGAAGGATAAAATAATAACAAAACAATAAAATGTATCTTAATATAATGACTGAGAAATAATCAGCAGAAAATTATTATTGTAGAAAGGCTATTATACATCACAAAAGAATGACGGTTTAACGACGCTTAAGAATATCATAACTTACACTAAAAACAGATAGAGAATATCCTTTAAAAATGTTAATAAAAAACAAGGAATTCAGCATTTGGTAGAATAAAATTAATGGATTTTTCTATAGTTATAGATTTTTGTTGATTTTTACGATTCAATTTCCCCCTTTCTTTCAGGATATAAACGCTTCACCCTCTACACATTCTGTAATATGAGGATGTTCGTAAAAAAACTAAAAGTTGCTTTCTTTATACTATATATTGGCATTGTTTCCTTTGTGATGAAGAAGGAAGTAAAGAAAATTACCAGTCAATCATAGCCTCAAATTCAACGTATTTTTGAAACGGAAATTAGGGTTGCACACTTCTTGAAATACAAATATAGACTAAATAATTTACTTAGCTCTCTAGTGGGGTATGAATTCAAATACCTGATGAGGAATGTATAGAAGATACAGCTAGATGGCTTTTGTAATTTTGCCAGTAAACACTCTGGGGTTTAAATATATATATATATA